AGGGGAACGAGAGGGTATGGGAAAAAAAAAAAAAAAAAAAAAAATGTCACTCAAATAGAAAATCAGCCAATCAGGTGGCTTTCCTCTACCAAGCATCAATGTATCTAGAAGAGAGGGGGGGATACTTCTAAGGGAATCTGCAGCTGTTTTAAAGCATATAGAAGAGGCCCCTGTCCTACACACAACCTCTGTGCTGTTTACATGCCAAGGCCGTGTTCACGGGGCCCCGTCCTACACACAACCTCTGTGCTGTTTACATGCTAAGGCCGTGTTCACGGGGCCCCGTCCTACACACAACCTCTGTGCTGTTTACATGCTAAGGCTGTGTTCAGGGGCCCCCGTCCTACACACAACCCCTTTGTTGTTTACATACTAACCTGTGTTCACGGCCTGGCCGTGTTCACGGGGCCCCGTCCTACACACAACCTCTGTGCTGTTTACATGCTAAGGCCGTGTTCACGGGGCCCCGTCCTACACACAACCTCTGTGCTGTTTACATGCTAAGGCTGTGTTCAGGGGCCCCGTCCTACACACAACCACTGTGTTGTTTACATACTAAGGCTGTGTTCACGGGCCCCCGTCCTACACACAACCTCTGTGCTGTTTACATGCTAAGGCTGTGTTCAGGGGCCCCCGTCCTACACACAACCACTGTGTTGTTTACATACTAAGGCTGTGTTCACGGGCCCCCGTCCTACACACAACCTCTGTGCTGTTTACATGCTAAGGCTGTGTTCACGGGGACCCGTCCTACACACAACCTCTGTGCCGTTTACATGCCAAGGCTGTGTTCAGGCCCCCCCCTGCACACAACCTCTGTGCTGTCAATTAGCGGCCAAGGGCAGATGAAAAAGGAATCTGAAACTTCTAATTTTTTCCCATTCCCTTCAGCTCTGTAATAATTTAAATAAACAGTCGAACTTTGGGGCCTTGTCCTCCTCATGTGACGGAATCTAAAAGCACGACATGCACTCCAGTTGGTGCCCCAAGACACGCTGCTCTCATACTCACTTCCTGCTTGCGCATGAGTTTCTGCATGACCATGTGACGCGCACTGCTCCCGGAGATACTCATGTGCTCTTGCTCGCTCAGCATCTCCGGCCTCTCGGACTCCAGAGTCGGCTCCTCTTCCTCCTTCTCTTTCTCCTTCTTTATCTCCAACTGGGCCATCGCTGGAGGGCTGGACAGGATGGGGTTCACCAGTCCCACCTGTGGAATAGTAACTGGTAGAGAGGGCCGCACTGGTGTCACTCCTGTGAAAGAAACACAACCAATCAGTTATTACCAAATGGGACTTCAGGGAATTTTCTCCCCACACAAATACATACAAGAAGCAGTCATCTGATCCGTTATAAGTTCACCGAGAGCTGTAATGGAGAGAAAGATTCCTTTGTTTCAGAACAATCGTGTGTTCTCCTTTTATTGCCGAATCTGAATATTGTACGTTCTGCCATGTTTTCTTGGAGATCTCTCCCTCTCTCTCTCTACCATCCATCCATCTATCCACCCCTCTCACACAAATACATACAAGAAGCAGTCATCTGATCCGTTATAAGTTCACCGAGAGCTGTAATGGAGAGAAAGATTCCTTTGTTTCAGAACAATCGTGTGTTCTCCTTTTATTGCCGAATCTGAATATTGTACGTTCTGCCATGTTTTCTTGGAGATCTCTCCCTCTCTATCCCATCCCTCTCTCTCTCTCATCCCATCCCCTCTCTCTCTATCCCATCCCTCTCTATCCCATCCCTCTCTCTCTCTCATCCCATCCCCTCTCTCTCTATCCCATCCCTCTCTATCCCATCCCTCTCTCTCTCTCATCCCATCCCTCTCTCTCTCTCATCCCTCCCTCTCTCTCTCTCTCTCATCCCATCCCTCCCTCTCTCTCTCTCATCCCATCCCTCCCTCTCTCTCATCCCTCCCTCTCTCTCTCTCTCTCATCCCATCCCTCCCTCTCTCTCATCCCTCCCTCTCTCTCTCTCTCTCATCCCATCCCTCCCTCTCTCTCATCCCTCCCTCTCTCTCTCTCTCTCATCCCATCCCTCCCTCTCTCTCATCCCTCCCTCTCTCTCTCTCTCTCATCCCATCCCTCCCTCTCTCTCATCCCTCCCTCTCTCTCTCTCTCTCATCCCATCCCTCCCTCTCTCTCATCCCTCCCTCTCTCTCTCTCTCTCATCCCATCCCTCCCTCTCTCTCATCCCTCCCTCTCTCTCTCTCTCTCATCCCATCCCTCCCTCTCTCTCATCCCTCCCTCTCTCTCTCTCTCTCATCCCATCCCTCCCTCTCTCTCATCCCTCCCTCTCTCTCTCTCTCTCATCCCATCCCTCCCTCTCTCTCATCCCTCCCTCTCTCTCTCTCTCTCATCCCATCCCTCCCTCTCTCTCATCCCTCCCTCTCTCTCTCTCTCTCATCCCATCCCTCCCTCTCTCTCATCCCTCCCTCTCTCTCTCTCTCTCATCCCATCCCTCCCTCTCTCTCATCCCTCCCTCTCTCTCTCTCTCTCATCCCATCCCTCCCTCTCTCTCATCCCTCCCTCTCTCTCTCTCTCTCATCCCATCCCTCCCTCTCTCTCATCCCTCCCTCTCTCTCTCTCTCTCATCCCATCCCTCCCTCTCTCTCATCCCTCCCTCTCTCTCTCTCTCTCATCCCATCCCTCCCTCTCTCTCATCCCTCCCTCTCTCTCTCTCTCTCATCCCATCCCTCCCTCTCTCTCATCCCTCCCTCTCTCTCTCTCTCTCATCCCATCCCTCCCTCTCTCTCATCCCTCCCTCTCTCTCTCTCTCTCATCCCATCCCTCCCTCTCTCTCATCCCTCCCTCTCTCTCTCTCTCTCATCCCATCCCTCCCTCTCTCTCATCCCTCCCTCTCTCTCTCTCTCTCATCCCATCCCTCCCTCTCTCTCATCCCTCCCTCTCTCTCTCTCTCTCATCCCATCCCTCCCTCTCTCTCATCCCTCCCTCTCTCTCTCTCTCTCATCCCATCCCTCCCTCTCTCTCATCCCTCCCTCTCTCTCTCTCTCTCATCCCATCCCTCCCTCTCTCTCATCCCTCCCTCTCTCTCTCTCTCTCATCCCATCCCTCTCTCTCATCCCATCACTCTCTCTCATCCCATCACTCTCTCTCATCCCATCCCTCTACCATCCATCCCTCTACCATCCATCCCATCCCTCTACCATCCATCCCTCTACCATCCATCCCTCTACCATCCATCCCTCTACCATCCATCCCATCTTTTGGAGAGTTCCCCTGATTCTGATCACCATCACTGGGTGTGAGTACACAGGTAGAGTGATGCTTGGTTTCTATACAAGCATTTTGGTTGATACGTTGTGGCACTTCTGTGGTTTTAAAGCTTTTGTTCTTTTGGGACACCTACTATTCAAAATGACCGCCAAAACCCCGATATGGATTATTAAAGCCGAACTCCAAGCAGAAATGTTCATTATATTACCTTCAACAAATGTGTTACTTGCTCATTCCGACGGGCATGTACGTCCATACGGCACACAAGTGAGGGCACCCGGACCCGCACGCATGTAATTGCACACACCCGCAGGACTAGTTCACACCAGGCTCAGAGGGCTCCGGCCTGATTCTGGCCAGAAGGCACTGGAACACATTCCGGCTGGCTCACTTTGTTTGGGGCAGGAGGCGGCGTTGCAGCGCATCAATGTCAATGCAGCCACGCCCTCCGGCCGCGTGGCTCATCAATGCCTGCGTCCCGGTCCCAAAAAAAGTGCATGCCGCATTTTTTTCTGACCGCACTGGAACACAGGCATTGATGTGCCATGCGTTCCAGTGCGGCCACTCGCACTGGGGATGAGAGCGTGGCTGCGGTGCCATTGATTTCAATGCACCGCCACGCTCCCTCCCGCCCCTGAACAAAGAGCAGGCCGGAATGCGATCCAGTGCGTTCTGGCCAGAATCGGGCCGGAACGCACTGAGGCTGGTGTGAACTAGCCCTTAGGGAAGAACAGGCCATTACACGCAGCAGCTGTCCCTTCTGGGATGGGGTCTTTTTATGGACGTGCACACCCGTCTGAATGAGCCCTAAATTATATCCTGCAGCCATTGCAAAATAACTCCTTGAAACCTATATAAGGGCTCGGTGTCCCTTCAGTCCAGCATGTAAGTCCAGTGACCGCTCTGCCCTGAGGTACCAGCCTGACACCCCAGTTGTACTTAATTAATAACCAGCACTGATCTCATTACATCACCACTGACTATAATGGAAGGAGCCGAGCGTCTCACACACCCAGGCTGTCCTGCCCACTAATATGGCCCGAATCTGACTGACAGGAGACAGGTCTGTCACTCCCATTCAACACTGGGCTGCCCAAACAAACCCATCCCATATTTACACTCATTGACAGCTTCAATTCCCATTGCATGATGGGAATTGTAGTCTATTCCAGTGATGCTGCTCATATCATAAGCACTAAGGAAATACTGACAATGGCCCACATTAAATACATGTCGTATGATAACAATGCTGTGCGAGGCTTTTCACACCAATTAACATGAAGCTGCATCTACGACATGCTGTTATTCTCTCTGCTGCTCACAGTCAGGCTCCACCTATGTCTATGCATGATGACTACGATGTGCACACCTGTATCAGTATAGAAGCAAACAAGACACAAAGCCTTCCGATATAGAAGATGTAATACATTTTATTATGGAGAGAGAACGGTACCTACCTGTAATAACCCCGGGGGCTTGTGCTGCCATGACTGCCTGTGGTAGTGCCCCCAAAGGCTGTGCCAGTGTTAGAGCCGGGGACACCAGGCCAGGACTCGTCAGTGTACCAAGGACAGCCGCTCCAGCCACCGCCTCCTGTGGAGAAGAGAAGGATGTATTACACCACAACCGTCCCCACGTGTCTTGTGATCAGATGAAGCATTCAAGGTTACAAAGACACCAATAATATCTCTAGATCATCAGGTGTTTCCAGGGCTCCGCTGCCCCTCCTGCGGGCCCGGGGCCGGCATGTTAGGTGCCGGCGGGAAGCGGACCTGCGAACGTCCGTTCACCGATCTTCTCCCCGCTCTACGGGATCAGGAGCAACGTCTATTGCATCACTTCCGGTCCCTGAGCGGTCATTGCTCGGCTCCTGAAGAATCTGCACCAATAGCTTATTTAAATTGGAAAGGTGACACTAGGGGTCTTTCGGACCACCAGTATCACCTTAAAGAGGACCTGTCTCCACCAATATGCTATCACATGGGGGGCTTGAAAAGGTTGAAACAAATTTACAAGTTAATAAGTCCCTCGCGAGAATTGATGAAAACACGCGTCGGGTGCGCCTACGTAGAAAAACGTTGATCGTGCTACACGTTGGGAATCGCCGCACATGTAAGAGCAATAATTCTAGGGACAATATTTATGCGCATCTCTAAACTGATGACCTGGGGGGGCTTTTAAAGCGTCTATGGACTTTTTGGGGTACTGAATTTTGTTGTTGTTTCACGAATGCACGCAATTAACCTGGGCATGTTGGGTATCTATTTATTGGTCCTAACCTCGTCTTTTATATTTAACAATAGTATTAAAGTGACATTAAAGTCAAAAATCTTTTTCCCTCTCCCCAATGGTAATGTCAGCACTTACCTTAAATTATGTTTCTTAATCCGATCATCTTCTTTCCTGATGTTTTCATCTGTCCCTCCAGCACTGCGGCGGGTCTCCGATCCAGCGCTGACTCCTCTGAGCTTGCTGGCACTTCCTGTCCTACGGTGTCTTCATGACGGTGCACGCGTCCATAAGTCACCTTGCGTCTCTCCTCGCGTCCTGGCCGAAAATGTGAACTGCGCATGCGTCCGCCCCAAGGTGCTTTGTGGCCGCCCGAGCATTTTCACATTTTTGGACTGGAGCGCGCGAGGAAGACACGGGTAAGTATTAACCCTTTTCAAAGCGGGGTTTTTTTTGTTTTTACACTTTTTGCATAGATCTACTGCTTGCTAGCAGTAGATACTGGTATATGCAAACAAAACGGAGGGTTTAATAACCCTTTAAATTGTGTTTTGGAGCATTAAAATTAACTTGAATTTATTTTTTACTAAATTTGGGGGTTTGATAAAGAGTTGCGCCAATAGTGTGCAACATAAAAATTTGCAACTGCCGCCATTTTATTCTACAGGGTGTTGGCTTTCAGAAAATATAGAATGTGGGGGGGTTTATAGTAATTTTCAGGCCTAAAGTGTTGATTATATCACATGTGCAAAAACCCAAAAAAAAAGGCCTCGGCAGCAAAAGGGTCCTTATGGAGTTAAACTTCAGCTTTAAGACCTCCTTCACACGAGTAACGGCCGGCTGCGTGCACAGCCGTATCGGGCCAATCCCGGGAAGGACAAGTGCTGCGTGTGATTTGTACGGAGCAGCCTGTCCTTCTCTATGGGAGTATGCGGCTGTACGCCGCCCTACACTCACCCGAACTGAACGTCCGTGCGGGTGTCCATGCTCGTATGCTGGCAGGATGGATCCCGTCTGCGTCCAAGCAGGGACACCCGCACGGACATGCAGGTTGGGCGAGCGTAAGGCGGCGTACTCCCATAGAGAAGGACAGGCTGCTGTGTGTAATCCTTCCCAGGAGCGGCCCCATAAAGCCGTGCACGCAGCAGTGATCTGTACAAGCCGGCCGTTTCTCGTGTGAATGAGGGCTAAAGCTCAGGGTAGATCTGGAGGATTGAAAGGCGTCCTATTAAAGTGGCGCCGTTTTCTCCAAACATAGCCCAGAAGCAGTTCCCTGCAACAGAAGAGGCATTATACGATCAATGATCATTTTCGCTCCTCTGAAGCCCTATAATCGCCATAAGAATCTGCAGCAATATATGCAGTTCTGGGAGTGTTGGATGCTTGTACCCATCACAGAGCACATCTGCATTCTATGGACTTTATAGCCAGGAGGGTGACAACACTATTCAGCCCCTGATGATCTAAAGCTACTTGTGCCACTTGCTTGTCAGCAGGATATTGAATGAATGTCAAAACTCTGCCAATGCTCTCCCTTTGCTCTTCTCTGGTCACCTACCTATACAATCCCATCCTCTAGTACAGGGGTGCCCACAATTTTTGTGTTATCTACTTTTCAAATGACGAGCTACATGAGATCTACCAACGAAGAAAAACCTCCCTCGCTCTCCTGGCTGTCTCTCCTCGCTCATCCTCCTGGCTGTCTCTCCCCGCTCATCCTCCTGGCTGTCTCTCCCCGCTCATCTTACAAATAGTGTAGTGCAGCAGGCTGTGTAAACTAATATTCTTTGATGTAATATATATATCTATCTATCTATCTATATCTATATATATATTAGTCTCAGCACCTGAGTCACTTCAACAACCAGTATCCACCAGAAAGGTGTCAGGGAGCTTGGCTCAGCAGACTCAGGCTAAAAGGAATAAAGGGGCCACCATTCACACCCTTTGTGATCTACCAGCATCAGCTTTAAGAGCTACTGCTAGATCACCATCTACCTAATGGGCACCCCTGCTCTAGAACTTACGAACCTGTTCATTCACATACCTGAGCTGTGATCTTGGCAGTTGCAGCAGCAGCGGCGACAGCAGCAGCAGGAGGGAGACCACCGGGGGTGGCCGGTGTGAGGAGAGGCATCGGTGGAGTAACAGCTTTACCAACTCGAAGGTACTGACCGCCCAGATCAAACAGGTTCATGGAGGAGACGGCATCCTGCGAAGACTGGGATTTATCATACTCTGTAAATACATACAATAACAGGAATGAAGGAGACAGCAGCGTGTGCAAGCACCGGAGAAGCCACATCACAATCTGCAGCTCTTCCAGCAGACTAGAACAACCTGTCAGTAGGAAAACATAGGAGTAGACATGTTTGAATGCACACGCATGGTCATACTGATCCGCTCTGCTTGCAATTTATGGACCTGGACCAAAAACGTGTTTAGGTCAGCGAAGTGCTAAGAAGTGAAGGACAATGACGGCAGTTTTGGCCTACAGCGCACTTTTCAAGACGGGTCGGCAAAGACGGCTCCGGTATTTCAATCCTCATAGGTCTGTGTACTCCTGATATACATACTGATTCCAGGTAAGTAACCTAATATATTAAAAGGAGAACTATGGGGTTAGGGCTTTTCACCATAGTTCTCCTTATTTCTGCTTTGCTGGCTTTTGTGTAAAAAAAAAACAAAAAAAAAAAAAACCCAAACCATATATTTTCTGAAAGCGCAGGCCCGGTAGACTAATAATTGCGCAAATGTTTATCAATTCAATATTAAACCGATAAAAATACGCGATTCAATTGATAAAGCACTAAAATCAGTATCAGTGCCTTTTTTTTTTAAACACACTTTTAAACGTATTTTTTAAATCATTTTAAAACATTTTTTTGCTGTTGGGGGGCTTTGGGGAAATATTAGGGTCTAAACAGACCCTTGACATTTCCCTTTTGAAATAGAAATTGAGGACTCTGTGTCCTCAATCTCTTTTTCTACAGCCTCAGCACTCAATGAATGGGAAGCACTCAGTCCAGAGCCTCCCCATTCATTCAGACACTGATGATAGTAAATATTTTACTATCAAGCAGTTTGTGAATGGGGAGGAGCTTCTGTACTGAGTGCTACTACCAGTTCAAAAATTCATGAATGAACAGGAAGTAATGTAAATCACATCCTGTTCATTCATAACTGGGGACACATTGTAAATAACTGGGGACACATACTACTAACACTGGAGTGATAAGACGATCACTCCAGTGTTTGTGCTGCACACAGAGGATCGGTAATACCACTGATAATTACCAATCCTACGCTCGCACACACAGAGCCGCTGTCATCCTGAAACTGACAGCGGCTGCTCTCCTCGCTCCTCCACCCCCCCACCGGACATTTCGGATCCCCGCTGCCTCAGCCCATACAAGCGGGCGCCCGGAATTTTTGTTAATAGCTGTCATCAGCAGCTTGTGAGGCCCTGATGACAGCTATTAATTTAAAGGGGAACGTCCAGGGAACAGTCCTGCTATAAGTTCATGGTCGCTAAAGCGACCATGAGCTTATAGTAGAACCGTAAATGCCACTGCCATAAGGCATACTGATCTGGCCATTTGGGAACAGTTTTGTTCCGCCATATGCCTTACGGCGGTGGCAGGGAAAGGGTTAAATCAATTGGATCACCATGACAGCCAGGAAACTAGCATTTCTATCTCTCAGGTACTTCAGTAAGGAGACCATTTGCATCAGCTCCCATATCCATGCACACCTACCACTGACATTACAGGAAAGGAAAAAAGGCGGGCCATGCTTCCTGTTGGACTTTTTATTATAGAGAATTCAATAAGTACCTTGAATAACCCCATTACCCCGACAGTGTGCAGGAACAGAGCCTTACCGCTGGAGACTTAAACAAGCTCATTCCTGATTGAAATCAGGAGTCGAAGGAAGTGGCCCAGGAAGATGGTATGCACAATGGAACAATAAAGTTTTATGCAAAGTGGGTGTATGGTGTACTTGGGCTTCATTTCTTGTGGTGCCAGTAAAACAGTGATGGACAGGCTTAGGAGTCAGCCAGCACCCAGGGTCAGAGGAGACACAGAGGAACCCTAAAGCTGCCTGCACCCAGGGGCAGAGGAGACACAGAGAAACCCTAAACCTGCCTGCACCCAGGGGCAGAGGAGACACAGAGAAACCCTAAACCTGCCTGCACCCAGGGGCAGAGGAGACACAGAGAAACCCTAAACCTGCCTGCACCCAGGGGCAGAGGAGACACAGAGAAACCCTAAACCTGCCTGCACCCAGGGGCAGAGGAGACACAGAGAAACCCTAAACCTGCCTGCACCCAGGGGCAGAGGAGACACAGAGAAACCCTAAACCTGCCTGCACCCAGGGGCAGAGGAGACACAGAGAAACCCTAAACCTGCCTGCACCCAGGGGCAGAGGAGACACAGAGAAACCCTAAACCTGCCTGCACCCAGGGGCAGAGGAGACACAGAGAAACCCTAAACCTGCCTGCACCCAGGGGCAGAGGAGACACAGAGAAACCCTAAACCTGCCTGCACCCAGGGGCAGAGGAGACACAGAGAAACCCTAAACCTGCCTGCACCCAGGGGCAGAGGAGACACAGAGAAACCCTAAACCTGCCTGCACCCAGGGGCAGAGGAGACACAGAGAAACCCTAAACCTGCCTGCACCCAGGGGCAGAGGAGACACAGAGAAACCCTAAACCTGCCTGCACCCAGGGGCAGAGGAGACACAGAGAAACCCTAAACCTGCCTGCACCCAGGGGCAGAGGAGACACAGAGAAACCCTAAACCTGCCTGCACCCAGGGGCAGAGGAGACACAGAGAAACCCTAAACCTGCCTGCACCCAGGGGCAGAGGAGACACAGAGAAACCCTAAACCTGCCTGCACCCAGGGGCAGAGGAGACACAGAGAAACCCTAAACCTGCCTGCACCCAGGGGCAGAGGAGACACAGAGGAACCCTAAAGCTACCTGCTGCCCCCAGGGTCAGAGGAGCCACAGAGGGACCCTGAAGCTGCCTGCACCCAGGGTCAGAGGGGAGACAGAGGAACCCTGAAGCTGCCTGCACCCAGGGTCAGAGGAGACACAGAGGGACCCTGAAGCTGCCTGCACCCAGGGTCAGAGGAGACACAGATGGACCCTGAAGCTGTCTGCACCTAGAATCAGAGGAGACACAGATGGACCCTGAAGCTGTCTGCACCTAGAATCAGAGGAGACACAGAAGTCAGCCTGATCCAAGGGTCAGAGGAGACACAGAGGGACCCTGGGGTGGAGAATCTCTATTACAAACAAGCACAGGACACAATCCTCAGATTGCATATTCTTATCACTTTTGGTTAGATTGACATACTGAAGGTGGCGTGATCTGACCCTGGAATTCAGGAGATAGCGGGGCTACATATTGTCAGTGGCAGCACAATATTCTCACCTATAAAACCGTAACCTTTATGTTTGCCTGTTGTTGGGTCTCGTGCCAACATACAAGACTTGATCTTCCCAAAGGCTTCAAACACGCTCTTGATATCGTCATCAGACAGATCCTGGTGCACGGAGGCCACATAGATTCTGTTGAAGGAGCGGGCTTCCTCTGCCAGCTGGTCTATGATGGGCTGTGCCTGGCCAATGTTGCTGGGTCTGCCCACCTGAGATGAGAAAGACAGAAGAGGAACATGAGAATCAAAACACACGGGTAACAGAATCGATTTCTATGAACTGCATACATACCAGAGCAATAAAAAGGGGCACATACTGGGTCTAGGGTCAGAGGAGACACAGAGGAACCCTGAAGCTGCCTGCACCCAGGGTCAGAGGAGACACAGAGGAACCCTAAAGCTGCCTGCACCCAGGGTCAGAGGAGACACAGAGGGACCCTGAAGCTGCCTGCACCCAGGGTCAGAGGAGACACAGAGGAACCCTGAAGCTGCCTGCACCGAGGGTCAGAGGAGACACAGAGGAACCCTAAAGCTGCCTGCACCCAGGGTCAGAGGAGACACAGAGGAACCCTAAAGCTGCCTGCACCCAGGGTCAGAGGAGACACAGAGGAACCCTGAAGCTGCCTGCACCCAGGGTCAGAGGAGACACAGAGGGACCCTGAAGCTGCCTGCACCCAGGGTCAGAGGGGAGACAGAGGAACCCTGAAGCTGCCTGCACCCAGGGTCAGAGGAGACACAGAGGGACCCTGAAGCTGCCTGCACCCAGGGTCAGAGGAGACACAGATGGACCCTGAAGCTGTCTGCACCTAGAATCAGAGGAGACACAGATGGACCCTGAAGCTGTCTGCACCTAGAATCAGAGGAGACACAGAAGTCAGCCTGATCCAAGGGTCAGAGGAGACACAGAGGGACCCTGGGGTGGAGAATCTCTATTACAAACAAGCACAGGACACAATCCTCAGATTGCATATTCTTATCACTTTTGGTTAGATTGACATACTGAAGGTGGCGTGATCTGACCCTGGAATTCAGGAGATAGCGGGGCTACATATTGTCAGTGGCAGCACAATATTCTCACCTATAAAACCGTAACCTTTATGTTTGCCTGTTGTTGGGTCTCGTGCCAACATACAAGACTTGATCTTCCCAAAGGCTTCAAACACGCTCTTGATATCGTCATCAGACAGATCCTGGTGCACGGAGGCCACATAGATTCTGTTGAAGGAGCGGGCTTCCTCTGCCAGCTGGTCTATGATGGGCTGTGCCTGGCCAATGTTGCTGGGTCTGCCCACCTGAGATGAGAAAGACAGAAGAGGAACATGAGAATCAAAACACACGGGTAACAGAATCGATTTCTATGAACTGCATACATACCAGAGCAATAAAAAGGGGCACATACTGGGTCCTAACTGCAATGGACACCATTCTATGGAAACAATGCATGAAGTGTCAACAGCAAGTGCAGTACTCATGGGTATGCCGGGATCCTGCCTAAATATGCACATTATACTATACAACGGGGGTAGTGAATAAGAACGCTAAGTTTTCTTCGACCCGAGGTCCAAATCGTGGAGCGGATCAAAGGTCACCCAGCCAGTGTCTGCACTGCCGTCTGCCATTTAGGCTGCATTCACTCCAGCAGCTGCATTACAACGCACATCTGCTGCTGTGTGTTCCCAGGCACATTGCTGATGCAACGATTCCGACGCATCACATTTTTTGTTAGAACTTTACCGAAATGTCACAAGTGACATTTCATGAAGTTCTATAGGCAAAGCGTAGTGTGATGCAGTTGTACCAAATCGTGGCTGGCTTCAATGAAAAAAAGTACAGCATCCATCAGAGTGTCCCCGTAGGTTAGATTCCCCCATCGGCAAGTCCCCGTACATACAGGTGCCCCCGTACATACAGGTGCCCCCATCGGCACGTCCCCGTACATACAGGTGCCCCCATCGGCACGTCCCCGTACATACAGGTGCCCCCATCGGCACGTCCCCGTACATACAGGTGCCCCCATCGGCACGTCCCCGTACATACAGGTGCCCCCATCGGCACGTCCCCGTACATACAGGTGCCCCCATCGACACGTCCCCGTACATAAGGTGCCCCCATCAAAGCGTCCCCATACATTAGGTGCCCTCATCAAAGCGTCCCCATACATTAGGTGCCCTCATCAGTGTCCCCATCGGAGTATCCCAGTACATTAGAAGCCCCCATCGGAGTGCCCCCTTACATTAAATACAAAAACAGGGGGCACTCTGATAGGGAACCCCAATATAATTATTTATTCCCATCAGAGTGCCCCCTTACACTGGATGTCCCTAGCGTGCCCCTTTAAAATGCTGCTGTCACCTTAATCCTGAAGCCTGTGGAGCAGGGAGTCCATTCTGGGAGCAGATAAAAGACAGGGATGGGAGGAGGCGGAATGGGAGGAGGCGGGATGGGAGGAGCCAGGAGGTGGGGCAGACGGCAAAGGAGGACGGAAGACGATACTCTTCCACCCCCCCCAAAGCTAGGCGGGAACAAAAGGGACGTCATTGGCTGCTAGGAACGCTGTGGTCTGACATCCGACCATCAAGGCATTTTGGTATTTGCATAACTCCAACCAAGGTCCAGCCCACTGCTTGCATCGGGGTTGGGGGCTCTTGAGGAGTGCTGAGGCAGGGTGCTGTGAAGTATTCAGGAAGCTATGTACAGCACCCCATCGGCCCCTCCCACCAGCCATGATCTGCCTGCATTGCATAGAAAAGCACAGAGACTAAAATAAGGTATGCAACGAAAATCTTAAGATTGCAAACACATCATTGGCACGTCAACGATGGGGAAAGTAGGAACCAGGAAAATATAAGCTGACTGGCTGCTGGTCTGGTCCCTGGAGCCCCTGTCCTCCTCCACTCCAGCGAAGGACTGTCCCTCAGCATCCTCATTTCCAATTCACTGCATTGGATGTGATATCTCACAGGACCTTAAGACCACCGGAGTGGAGGCGTAGCAGGGCTGCAGGGACCGGTCTAGCACCCAGCCGTCTCCAAGGTTCAGCCGAGTATATCGTTGCTCGTTTATTGTCTAGGGAAGAAAATAACACTTAAAAAGGAGAACTATGAGGTGAGTGATTTCCACTCATCCTGATAGTTAGAGCCGACGTGTGACAAAGAAGCTATCACAGGTCGGCTCCATTGATCAGGAAGCGAGCAGAAACACGCAGCGATCTGCTCACTTCTCGATCATCTCCCTGCAGTGAGCTGTGACTGTCAGTCACCGCTGCCCGCAGGGATTCCCCCCTCCCCGATCCTCTAGCACTGACTGGAGAACAGACAGGGAAGGGGGCGGGTACAGCTGGCTCTGCCTCCAGATAGGCAGAGCCAGCTGTCACTCAAGCAGCTGGGGGGGATCTAGACAGTAATGTCGGGATCCGTCCCGGCTGCGGCGGTCTCAGAATACTGCGAGCAGTAGCTCGCTATATACTGAGCTTTGGGTCACGGGAGGACGCTAGTATATGTCCTCCCGTTACTCTAAAGAGCGGTATGGGGAAAATCACTTACCCCATAGTTCTCTTTTAACCCTTGCAGTGCAGGGGTAGGCACACTAAGGGTTCGGATTATATTCTGCCTGGATCAGGCATACTGAAGAACTGGAGATGTCTGATCTGACAAGTGTACCTCTGTCCAATCTGCAGAGATTCATATGAGCCACAAACCCCAATTCCTGAACGCCTACATTCTATGAAACGCTGCAGATTGGACAGATACAAATATTCAGGAAAGTTCTTCCGATTTGATTATCAGTGTCCGACGTTCTGATGTCTGTTATAATGGATGTACTGCTCTTATGTTATCACGCACCACGGCTGTGTCCTGTTCATGAACCATACGATGTGCACTCACCTTAATGTTCCTTCCACCCAACATGACCGAGTTCATCTGTTCCAGGGCGAGCTGAGCAGCTTCTGGGACTTCATACTCCACAAACGCAAATCCCTGAAAAGAAACAGAGGGCAAATCAGCAATAGCCGGATCACTATGGAGGAACATTCGTTTCATTCCAGGGAGGGATCCTGCTTGGGAATAATTTAGCTCGTCCCTGCAGAAAATCTCAAGAGATTTACAACTTTAAAGGAGAACTACGAGGTGAGTGCTTTTCACTGGATTCCCCCCTCCCATTTGCCAGCGCTGACTGGCGGAACGGACGGGGGAGGGTACAGCTGGCTCTGCCTCTAGATAGGCAGAGCCAGCTGTCAGTCACGCAGCTGGGCGGATCTCGACATCGATGTCGGGATCCGCTTCAGCTGCGGCGTCTCAGTATACCACAAGCTACAGCTCGCGGTATACTGAGCCTAGGCTGACGGGAGGACGCTAGTTTGTGTCCTCCCGTTACCCTAAGGAGAACTATGGGGAAAAGCACTGACCTCATAGTTCTCCTTTAAAGTGGAATTAAAAACGAAACAATCGGGAGGTTGGGATTTTTGACAGAACAGACAAGCAAAGTCTCTTCCGTCACCAAACTCCTTCCTCCTTACCCTAGCCATGTTTCATTGTCTGTGTACACTGTATGGTGCATGCGCAGTGCTGTGTACATTCCCGGCATTCGTTTCCCAGGAACAATGCAACACTTGTGTGCATGCGCAGGAGTTACATCATCAATGACAGAAGAGGATGCCCGGGAACATCAGAGAATGCCCAATGCTGGAGAGGGGAACACTCAGAATACTTACACATTAGGGCAAAAAAAAAAACCCAACCAGCACACAGCGGTTTAATTCCACTTTAAATTTGTCATTTGGAAGCATCTCGTACAACTTGTCAGGTCCCCAGAATTGACCATTGTTCACTGGCTGCCATATTACGGAGGACGGCTAGAAGAGGGTGAAGACTGGAAATAAGAAGGGATTATGGCGTGGACTATTACTGACAAGGTCTGAGAATGATCATTTCTTCCTGCATATACGGTATGACGCACTCCATAGGCAGAGCCAGCTGTCACTCGCGCAGTTGGGCAGATCTCGACAGTAACGTCGGGATCGGTCCTGGCTTCGGCAGCCCCGGTACACCGTGAACTGTAGTTTGCGATATACTGAGCTTTGGGTCACGGGAGGAGGATAGTATATGTCCTCTCGTGACCCTTAAGAGAACTATGGGGAAAAACACTTACCCCATAGCTCTCTTTTAAACATTTTGGGGACCGCGTTTTTGAAATGCTGCCGGGCCATTGCAAGG